AAATAAATAAATTTAAAAAGTAGCCAAGTGCTCCACATAGCATAGGAAAGATGACTTGAGGGCGCCTCAGCAAACAGCCAGGTACCACCTATCCCAGACGCACACAAAGCTAAACTCAGACGGACGTGGGAGCACCCACATCTGGGACACTGAGGAAGGAGGCTCAGCATCTCAAGTTTGAGGCCAACCTGAAATTGTGATTCAGACACATTCTGAAATATGTTACAAAAAACCAGAAAAGGTAAACTCCTTCCTCTAAACGACTTAAGCTTTTTTGTCTCAGAACATTTTGCTCCTTCAGGGCTGCTTAGGCGATACATCTAGCTAAGTGTATCCCTGAGTTCAGCCCTTCATCACTCAGAGGCTCTGCAGCCATGGTCTAAGAGGGCCAGACTGCTGCGCAAGTTCCTGGCAAATCTTAAGTGTTATCCATGTGGTACCCATTTTTCAAGAGTTGTAGGTTCACTGACTCCCACCCAGGTTTTGGAGGAAGGCCTGGGAGACCACAAAGGAGTCCTGAAGAGTGCACTGTATGAAGCTGAGAGTGAAGCCAAAGGTGCAATGGACCCCAGGAAGTTGGATGTCAACAAATAGAATGTCTGCTGAGAAAAACTGCTGAGAGGCCATGTAAAACCAGCAGTGCTACAGGGGTTGGGCTGCCCAAGCCCTCTCGAGCTCACATCTCACTGCAATCAGTCCCAGGTACTAGACATGGATTTAATATTTGTTCTGCTAAGTTTTAGTTTTGATTTGGTCAGATTCCTGACTAGTTTCCTATTCATCCCTTCTGGAATGGGAACACTTACACCACTGTACTTTAGAAGAATATGGCTTTGTCTTTTTGAGACAGGGTTCTACTATGCAGTTCTGGTTGGCCTCAAACTCACAGATATCTTTCTGCCTCAGCCTCCCAAGTGCTGATATTATAGGTCTGTGCCAGCATGCCTGGCCTCACTTCCTTTTACAGAGGCCTACAGCTGAGTTTGCCCTGAGTTTCTGAGACTAGATTTTCCAGTGATGTCAGAGCTAAGAATTTATGATTTTGCTTTGTTTTGAGACAAGGTCTTGTTTTGTAAGTTCAGACTGGACATAAGTTTTTTGGAAATGTCATGATACCTACCTACAATGTCCCTTAAAACCCTCGGACATTTAGAGATGTGGCCTGATCAGAAGAGGTAAGTCACTAGGGTCAGAACTTGAAAGCGCGTCTCGTCCCTGGCCTCTCCCCTTACTTTCTGCTTCCTGGGCTGCTTTAAGCAACTTACCTTCACAGTGCTAATTTACCATGCTGTTTCTGCTTTAGAACCAGCTAAGCATAGACTGAGCCCCCTGGAATTATGAGCCAAATGAGCTTTCTTCCTTTAATTGGGCTATCAGGTGGTAAGTCCCAGTGATGGGAAAGTGACTAACACAGGAAGGCTGTTGTTTGTGTTTTATTTAGGAACTGTGCCTACTATTACACTTCACAGAATAAAGCAAGGGACGAAGGCAGACCTGGCTGTCCCTCACCTGAGTAGGGCAAGCCACTGGCCACTGGGTCTGTAATCTTGGAAGCGAGTTGGCTGTTCATGAGAGTAGGGAGCTCACTGAGGCAGGTAAAATAGGTACACTTATACAAGCTATGATACAAAATTACAGAAGCTGATTTTGCAACTGCTGGGTCTCATCAGTAGGAGCGAATGGCGGGGGGAACTGTGGCACAGTCAGTCTCATTTAAAGTCTTGTCAATGACGGGCCTGTACTCCAGGGTGACCTTGAAAAGAAGAGTTGAGAATTTAGAACATAGGAGTATACAAACTGCTGTGGTGCTTCCAAGAAAATTATAAATTCTAAGATTGGAAACTTAGAGGACTCAGAACTTAGAAAGTGATTAGCACATACAACAGGGCTAGCTACATTAACCCATGTGCAAATTCATACATAAATACCACACAGTAGAATAGAGCAACTAAAGTAACGCTGCACAAGAGTCTCCATGATGCCAGTGGTGGTGGTCCACACCTGTAACCCCAGCACTTGGAGGCTGGGGTAGGAAGACTGAGATCAGTTCAAGTTCAAGTGCAAGGCCAGCTCTCTCAAAAAAACAAAGATTCTTCACGCTTGCTTATTCAAAGCAGGTAAAAATCTTAGACACTGTCACACTTTGTTTAAACTCCAACTTCAAAGTCATTATTTATGCACACAGTATGTACTCATAGGAAAGTGTAAGTATACATATACATAAAACTTGGAGGAAAAAAAGAAATAAGAATAAAACTTGGAGGAAATATTTCAAACCAGAATGGGTGATTTCTAATTGACAGAGTGGCAAATATTTGGGTTTTTTTGTACTTTCTAAATAAGTATTTTACAATCACTTCCTCAAACATTGCTTGTTAAAGTCTGACATCTTTTTGAGACAGGGTTTCACTCCAGTTCAGGCTGACCTTGAGCTTAGTTCGTAGCCCGGGCTGGCCTTGCACTTGCAGTGATCCTCCTGCCTCAGCCTCCAGAGTGCTGGGATTACAGGTGTGCACCACCACACCCTGCCAAAGTTATCTTAATTACTTCAGAATCTTTATGCCTGCAGAAATTTTAAATGCAGAGATCTGTGTCAGTGAAGACAGAAGCTCACAGATACAGCCCCTGGCTCCTGCCTGTGCTGTTCTGCACGCTGCAGACCAGGGATGCTAAAGCTGCACCATCTCTGCGGGGCCCTCTGCAGCTGCTTCCCAGTGTTCCAGACCCTGACGGGAGGCACAGGTGTGTCCCGGTGCCCTGGGATCCTGGCAGGCTGTATCATGTCTGGCTGTGCCCCTCCAGAGTCACCATCTCCTACCTGGCCACCAGCTCTCAAATATCTGATGTCTACTCAGTACCCTTTAACCAGCACACTACAGGAGCTGACCCTACTGGCCCTGGACTCTGTTTCCAGAACACACCTACTTCACAGGGTGTCCTTTTTCGTGGTGTCTCACATCTATCAGCACCTGGTTTAGGTCTGGGCTGCTCCTCCCACCTGGTCACTACCAAAGGCCTTGGTGCCGAACAGTTCCCACGCACAGCCACATACCTTCCCAGTCTTGACATCCACATAGGAGAGGGTATGCTTCCTCCAGTGCTCCCCAAATGGCCTCTTCTGCTGCCCCTGGATGGGCTTCGAGTAATCATATTCATCAATCCGCACCTGGGGTCAAAATGAAGCAAACATTAAAACCATACACAAGAGATGAGCACAGGAGGCAGCTAGCATTAAGTTCAGGACCTGCTGTTTCGTAGTCTGCAGTGAGTCCAGTGTCCATTTCTACATCTTTCATAAAACTCCATGGGTGAATATTAGAATTAAGGTATCATTTATACACTTAAAACTTTATCAAACAGTTTGTCTCTCTCTTTTTTGTGATACAGGGTCTTGCTACACAGTTCGGACTCACCGTGACCCTCATGTCTCAGTCTTCCCAGTGCTGTGATTATAGGCATGCGCCACCATGTCCAGTTCATCAAATTTTTGCCCACACTCAGGGAGATTCTCCCACTTTTCAACTGTTTTTATTTAAATGTTTTAATTATACCAATTACATTAAAATTTTAAAACCTCTCAGAGTAGCTAAATGCTGGTAAGGAAATGCTGCTTGAGATGATGCAAGAGCAGGAGCCTCTTCCAGTATAAAAGAGACCAAAACATGCGCCACCATGTCCGGCTCATCAAATTTTTGCCCACATTCAGGGAGGTTCTCCCATGGCTGTTTTCAGCCGTGTGAATGTGGGGTGAGCAGCAGGGAGGCCTTTCTCTTTTCCTGGGGCCAGTGGGGGTTGCTACACGGTGCCTGAGCTCTAGATGCACAACCTCAAGATGAGTGGCTTCTGCCCCACACTTGAAGCTTGTTCACCTCAGCCCAAGAGCCAACCCTGGCCAAGCTTCCAGCCCCAGGACACACTTGCAAACATGGCTGCCTTCATCTACCTGCTCTCTGCAGGATATCAAACTTCACAGTAAATGAAAATCACTCCTGTTTAACCAACTTTGTTACCCGTGTCACCGTGTACTGTACTGGGCCAAAGCCAGTGTCTGTCTCACAGAAAGTCTAACCTTTCCGCTGAAGCATCCCTCCTGACCTTGCAGCAGGACTGAACAGACGCACAGCCTATCTCCACGCACCTTGTAATCTTCCCTGGCATGGGCACCTCGTGATTCCTTCCGCGCTTCTGCTCCATAGATGGTCTGCAGCGCACACAGCATCAGATTCTGCAGCTCCAGGGTCTCCACCAGGTCTGTGTTCCAGACCATTCCTGGGAACACACAGGACCCGTGAGAAGATGCCGTCACAGGGAACCTACTGCTATGGTCAAGGCCATCCACACAGCAGACATGGAACTCAGCCAGACAACAGGCCCAATATGAAAACCCCTGCAGAGGGCATGCATACCCCTCCCTCTTGGCTCACCCCTGTCGAATGTCTTCAGATTCTTCAGGTCTCCATAGAGCTGGCTGATTTTCTCACAGCCTTCTTGCAGCACGCTTCCCACACGGAACACCGCAGCATGATTCTGCATGGTCTGTTAACAGTATCAGTGGTGAACTTGGCAGCTCCAGGAGCCATGCCAGAGAACTGCTAAAACCTTCACACTAGTTTCCTTGCATTTCAGCTGATGTTAACACATTTATGTACAGACTTTGTGTATGGTTCCTTTTGCAGTAGGGGGACCTCCTCATACGTGCCGGCTAAGTGCTCTACCACGGTAACATCCATAATCCTTCCACATGTATGTATGTATGTATGTATGTATGTATGTATTTCTTAAGGTCTTGTTATGTGTTTCAGGCTGGCCTTGAGCTCACTCTGTAGCCCAGGCTGGTCTTGAACTTGCAACAATATCCTGCCTCAGCCTCCCAAGTGCTAGAATTACAGGTGTGGGCCACCATACCTGGCTAGTCCTTCCATTAAAAAAAAAAAAAACAGTACATGACTCACTAAATTGCCCAAGGTGGCCTTAAACTTGTGACACAACTGCCTTAGCCTCCTGAGTAGCTAAGATTTTATAAGCATCTGCCACCATACCTAGCTCCTGAATTTTAAAATAAAATTTTAATCAAAACTTTAAAGATACAGCAGCCCCACAGAGACCTCAGAACACTTGGCTCTGGTAACTATGAGACAGGCCTGCAGTATTCCCTTGTGATACAAACTAAGATGTACTTAAGAGGATGCGGTAGGCAGTGGTAGCTGCGGGGGGCGGGGGGGAGGTCAGAGGGAAAGGAAGGAGCAGAGGCCTGGGGAGGAGCACAAGGCCTGGCCCTTCTCAGGTGCTGGGGCTATTGATTATCCTTTGTTCATTCCTCACATTCTAATGTCTTTATAGTTTACATTTATTCTAGTAATACAGGTGCCAAGAGACAAACCTCAAGTTCACAAGTTTGCTGTACTATGCTGAGAAGTTGGGCACCTTATGACCTGTGGTCAAATGCACAAGGCCACCTGCTCAATACTCCTCCACTCCCTCTCTACCTGAAGCATCATGGCACGGACACTGGCCTTTTCTGGGCTCTACTTTGTTATACTGACCTGAATGTGTCTTCCTCTGATAGCAGATTAATGCAGCTTTAACTGGGAGGTATTTCGTCTAACACTCTTTAGACTGACACATAATTGTAAAATTGTGATGCACACAACCCCTAATTGTTTCTCAGGACAAGTGACAAAAACTGTGTCACTGCATTATGGCCTGTGTCTAGTTGTCTCCCCAAAGCCTCATGTAGTCATAGGGCAGACGTCGAGAGTTTGTGATTAGTTATGATATGCTGTTGGGATTTCGGATGTGAGCGCTACACCCACCCTGGGGGAGACAGGCTGGCTGCATTATGAGGGAGGGAGGGAGGGAGGGAGGAAGGGAAGGAGGGAGGGAGAGCTTGCCTCTCTGGTGCTGCTCCTGGCACTGTGCTGTTCTGCTGTTTTCCGGCCTCCATGAACTGCTGCCCTCTGTCACGTGCCACTCTGCATGGAGCCAGCTGACTATGGACTGAAACCTCTGCAAACTGAGAGCTAAATAAACCTTTCCTTCCTTAATTTTGGGTGTTGGGTATTTTGTCCCAGCAATGAGGGAAAAGTAACAGACAAACTGTCAGAATTTGGTGAATATTAAACATTCTTTCATATCTTAGATTTTGTATTTTTTGCCTGTACTATGAATAACTATTGACTTATGAGAAGATTGGCACTGAAACATTAAAAACTACTGGTTTCTATATGAGATTTTACCAAGACACCTTTCACTATCCTCTTTTTCAGTTTATACCTTTGAGTTTTATCTATAAGGAAAGAAACTTTTGTTGATTCCTTTTCTGTACGTATCTCATTTCTTTGATTCTTTTTGTATAAGCCACCGTCAGCATAAAAATTACTTCCTCCACAGAACTGCGTCTTCCTTGAATACGGGGACTCTCGCTGCGTGCCTCCACTTCTAACGCTGCCTGCACGCAGCAGGTTGGAGGCTATACCTTTCGGTGGGAAGTAATGCCTCTAGTATTTCCATCTCAAAGTATCGCATAGGTTTTCTGTCTCCACATCCAGTGCAAGGTTTCACTGAACAGCAACTACACCTGTCCTAGCTGGCTTCTGCCCCAAAACCAGCACCGACTAAGTCCTACTGAATGTAACTTGGCCCACTTCTGTGCCTCATTGGTGCTATTTTTCTCTCAAAGTCTCCTGAAGCCCAGTCCTTCCAGAAGACAGAAGCTTTGTAATTCTAGCTGGCCCTGAACTCTCTTACGCACTCCAAGCTGGCCTCGAACTCACAACAATCCTTCTGGGCCAGACAGACAGCTCAGAGATATAAGCAGCACCCTAGCAAGTACAAGGTCTGGAGTTTGAACCCCGGTACAAAAACCAAAAGACAATCCTCTGCCTCACCCTCCCAAGTGGGAGGCTGGCATTACAGGCACGCACCACCAATACCTGGTAGGAGTTTATTTTTAGAAGACACTCATGTGACCAAATTACCATAAATAACGCTACATAGAGCAAACTCTCATTCATGGAATCCCCATTTTAAAAGAATTTTTTCCTGTTTTATACTTTATTTTTTTACTGATCTAAGCCTGTGTTTTCCAAGGCAGAGCAACTAACCACGTGTAGCCATTTATATAAAAATTGACATAAAAATGAAAGTAAGTTTCCCAGATGGACCACATTCTAAGTGCTCCTAGCACCTGTGCTTGGTGCTTACTGTCCTGGACAGCTGACTGGGGACTTCCCACTACCACAGAAGATCTGCCGGACAGCGCTGATGGAGAAGGTAAGCCTGCAGCTTCCACGCATGGTCCTTCTCTTTCTAGTTTTCTTTCTTTTTTTTTTTTGTGGCCGGCTCAGCCCACCCTGGGAGTGGAGCTGGGTGGCATGTGGTGCTGGGGAACAAACTGTGGTCCCTGCGCTGCCTGAGCAGGCACTTTAGACTGCTGCGCTATCTCTCCAGCCCCTTTCTGATTTCCTTTAGATACAGCACAGGGCACTGTGTAAAGACGTTTCCAGAGTGGTTGGAAGCCGAGACTGAGGTGACAGAGTTAATTCTGTGCACACAGATTACAAGCTCAGATGCTGTGCTGACTGTGGGAAGCGTGGCACACAGCTCTCCCTGCTGTTCCTCTTTCTGGCTCTAAGACACGTGACAGCCAGGGCTGGCCTGAGCATGAACATCAGGCGTAAGCCTGCAGAGAAGTCACAACTTGGGCTGCCTAGCAGCCAATTCTTCTTGACCTCCTTGTATGGAGAAAAGAATGCACTCTGTCTATGTGAGGCTTCCTGGCCACTCTTATATTCTTCTTTGAGACAGCAAGGACAATGGGCCTCCAGCTGTTTGTCCCCCATACCCGTGTGGGCAGCTGAGCTGGCATCTATGCCTACCTTCTGCATGTTGAGGCGCAGTTCTGATGTCCTTATGCCTCCATCAGCAAATCTTAACTTGTCAAGATTCATGACAGACTCCTCCCCAGCATTTGGTTTAATTGAAGGAACTTTATCTCCTAAAAAAATAAAAAGGGGGAAGAGATTAGAATTTAACTTTTAAAAAACATTTCAGAAAACCAAGTGGATCCTTTTTTTTTTCTTGGCAGAATCGGGGATTGAACTCAGGCCCTTGCGCTTGCCAGGGAAGCGCTTATTCTACTGGGCCATCTCCCCGGCCAACCAGATGGATTCTGAGTGACACTCCAGGACTTTGGAGCAGCCTCAGGCAGCAGTGATCTGGACACCAAACTGAGGAACATCTACTGACCTAGGCCTAACTTGCAAGAACAAAGACAAGATTTCTGGCCCACAGGGGTGTCCAGGACATAATCCTTGAATAAACAAACTAAAACCATGTCTAAACTAAAAAATACATTTGTGGGGGCCGGGGAGATAGCTCAGTAGAATAAGCGCTTCCCTGGCAAGCGCAAGGGCCTGAGTTCAATCCCCGGTTCTGAAAAAAAAAAAAACCACCTCAAAAAACAAAAAAAAAACTGTCAAAAAAATTGGATTTGTGGCATAAGAAAACACAGTTTTATAAGGAATATATAACTTAAAAGTAGTATCTAATAACAAATGATTTATGCCACCAATCAGAAAATATAATGAAAAAAAAAATCCTCTTCTCAGCAGCATCAAGAGAAATACAATTTTGAGGAACAATTTATGAATCCTGTAAGGAAAATATTGTAACTGTCCACTGAAGGCCACAAAGGAAATCTGAATAATTCGAGGAAGAAAAATCTTGGTCCTACATAAGAAAACCAGTATTATAAAGATCTTCACTCTACCTAAAGTAATTTATTTCCTTTTTTTGGTTTTTTTTTGAGAAAGGGTTTCACTATGCCGTCCAGGCTGGCCTTAAACTTACTTTATACGGTAGGCTGGCCTTGAACTCACAGGGATCCTCCTGCCTCAGTCTCCCTCCCATGTTGGGATTGTAGGTGTGCACTAGCACACGTCGCTATAACTCTGTTTAATTCTTGGCACAAGCATTACTTTTATTATTATTTTTTTTTTTTTTTTTTGAGACAGGGTCTCGCTACGCAGTTTGGGCTGGCCTTGTGCTCACTTTTGTAGACCCCAGGCTGGTTTCAAACTGACAGCAATCCTCTTGTCTCAAGTCTCCTGAGTGCTGGGATTAAGGGGTACAACACCACACCCGGTTCCATAGCATTACTTTTATAAAGAATAAAAAAATAATAAAAATTCCTGTTAAAAAGAGCAGCCAAAAGTGCAGTCAGGTGCAGGATACTGTGGTTCGAACCCCACCTCCACTTGCCTTACCAGACCTGCCTTTAAGGCAGGCTGAGCTAGCCCAACAAAAACAAAAACAAAACAAAAAGCCACCTCAACTTTTGGGGCCTCGGAGATAGCTTATAGAAAATAAGCACCTGCCTGGCAAACGCAAGGTATTGAGTTCAATCCCCAGTACCACGAAAACAAAAACAAACAAACAAACAAAAAGAAACTACATTTCTTTATGCCTGGCATAAAGAGCTGCCAAAACCCATTGCACCCCTGAGATGTGAGCCATGGTCACCTCTTCTCTAAAAAAGATGAGCTGCATTTTATTTTAGAACACTCACTTTTCTAAGAACCAAGAGATTACATATTCATTTATCCCTATTTAAAATATTTCATTGCAAAAAAGTAAACCTCTACTAGGAAAGCAGCACTTAGTAAATTTCCGCTCAAAATAATGATTTCCTAGTTATGACATTTTAAAGCACAAAATAACAACTAGAAAAATATTTGACCTAAAGAAATCCTTCACCTTAACTGTTAAGATTTTCACCCAGTTCATGTCTAGTCTTGACATCATTCCCACACAATCTCTGGACTTTTCTGTTCCTCACTTCTAGAAGAAAACTGGCCTATGTACTTCTATAAGCACCAAGCATATTTTTAACAACTAATCAAGACTCCTGAACAGCTTGGCTGCTCAAACGGAACACATACCTGGTCTGCACGACTCTGCGATGCTCAGGGCACAGGCCCGTCCAAAGACGACCAGGTCCAGAAGGGAGTTTGCCCCGAGCCTGTTGGCACCATGCACTGAGGCACAGGCGGCCTCCCCGCAGGCATAGAGGCCAGGCACAACCTGGTCCTGGCCATTCACATGCTTCAGCACCTTCAGGAAAGATTTCAGATCAGACAGTAAGGCTTGCCACAAGGCCCTCACCCCAGAATAGGCTTCTCAGCTTGAGGTAGAGAAGATCATACCTACTGACTCACACAGACCCCTTGGGTTATCTGCAGCTCTTCTATTCCCTGAATACTCACCACCATGATGAGCAAGACAAAGGACCCTGTGTCAGTACCTGTGGCTTCTCCCTAAGGTCCAATGTACCTTAGAGTCTCCCTTAAACACCTACTGAGTGGTACTGGCTCTGACAGCTATCAATGAAGAGGAAGACAGGGATATTTCAAATCCTTCTACTCACTGCTGATCTGTGAAGGGAGAGTAATAATCCTCCCAACCCTCGGGGACACCCCGCTTGGGGCCCCTTCTGTCCCTCTCAGACAGAAGCTTTCTTTCCCCCAATAAATATTCTACTCTTAACCTCCGCTTGGAAATAATAATAATAATAATAGTAATCCTCCCAACACTGACCAGGAGGTCAAAGTCGAGGGGCCAGCTGACACTGTAAAAATAACAGCAGCATTCAGATAATAATACAAAAACAAAAAAACTGTTTATGATATTAGATCTATGGCAGAAAATGAACCATTATTACCACGTGAATGCAAACTCTGCAACCTAACTGAAGCCCAGCCTGCTCTATAGAAATAGCAACTTACAATAAGTGCAAACCACCAAGTAACACAAAACGCCTTCATCTTTGTTTCTGAGACCTAAGGGTACTAGGAAGGTGGACCTGCTGTCTTCACCTGCCCCTTGTAGTTGGTGGGAATCCCACCCATATTGTAATGGACAGTGGGGAGAACTGGGATCGGCTCCTTGGTGACATCCACACCAGCAAAGATCATGGCCGTCTCTGAGATGCCAGGCAAGCGCGTGGCCAGCTGCTCGGGGGGCAGATGGTGCAGTTGCAGGTAGACATGATCTTTCTCAGGGCCGCAGCCTCTGCCAAAACAGAACATTTCAACATGAGGCAAAGGATGGCAGGTAGAGCAACTGCTCGTCATGGAAGCATGTGAATGCAACATTTCTTGGTACTCAAGAAAGTTGCTCTTTCACCAAGTATTCTGTAAGCATCTGTGTGCTAAGAATAAGAGAAACTCCGCAGTCACCAAGCTCTCACTCTAGTCCTGACCAAAATTTGCTATAATTCCTTGGTAATTCCTGTGTCAAGCACTCCTAAAAGGTACTCAACTCTTCACTGTTAAGTAAATACAATGTACAGAGCTGCTCCAGCACAGCAGAATATGTGTCCCCGCACTGACTAACAGGCTCAGAGCTGAGCATGGCAGTGTATAACTGTGTCCTCAGCACTAGGCACACTGAGGCAGAACAACTGCTGGGAGTGAGAACAGCTTGAGCCAGCCTGAACTAGGTCTCACTCAGAGGCATCAGAGCATGGGATTCTCACTAAAGGACAGCTAATGCCACACCCCAAAGGCAGTGAGCATCTGTGACAGGAGGACCACAACGGTTTTTAACATTCACATGCTAACTGAGGGTGCTGTCTCTCTCTCCCAGAGTGTCTGTCACACACCTCTCCTACAGAAAGATTTACACTTAACTGACTAAAATCCCCAAAATATAGTACCAGAGATTGAACTCAGGCCCTTGTGCTTGCCAGGCAAATGCTTATTCTACTAAGCCATCTCCTCGGCTCCCCCAAAAATGTAGTAAAAAAAAAAAATTAAAACAAACTCATGGACAATAGTGAGAAGATAACAGCTAACTTTTCCTCGTGGGTAGGTGTATACGTAGGGGGCTCAGACTGCAAAGATGCACAACCTGGATGTACACGTGACCAAGAGCAACGAAGAGGGAGAGAGCAGCAGTGAGTCCAAGGGCTATTTGTGTGCACCCGTGTAGTATGTGTACCCACGGCCACACCCTCACACATCTGGAAGGGAATCACGTACCTTCCCTCACGGATCTCCAGAGTCATGGACCGAGACACGACGTCTCGAGATGCTAGATCCTTTGCAACGGGTGCATATCTCTCCATAAACCTCTCGCCCTCACTGTTAATGAGAATGCCTCCTTCTCCACGGCATCCCTCTGTGATGAGACAGCCAGCACCATATATGCCTGCAAAAAGCCCAAGTCACCAAACATGTGGAAGTGAATGATGACTAGGTACATGACACCTTATTCAATACAAAGACAATCGACTTATACTTTAAACACATCAACAGAGAAAAGAGTCAAGAAGTGATACAAGTGTTCATAACAAGCACAGAAGAAGCTGAATGCATCAAACAGGTCCAGGAGGACTAGTGTCACCCAGTGAGAGTGTCACCCAGTGATTGAACGCCGTGTGTGCTGAATATCTTGACTTTTAATTTGTGAACATAATTTTGTACCATGAATGTAACTAACAACCAGCTTGGATGATTCCTATCTAAGACACTCAAACAGCAACAAGGACAGAAATTGCTACTGCCTACTTAGATTATAGCTGCTGTGGACTAGCTGCTGCACATGCGCTTTAGCTCACTACGTTCTGTAAGGGTCCTGGGTTATCACCCCCATCCTCAGAGATAAGAGCCCAAATCCAAACCTAGTAAGCACATGTGCTCGACATTTTTAACCATGACTGAATCCTTGACTATCATAAAAAGTGAGCAATATCAAGTCTCAAATTTTAGCAAAAGATGCCAATAAGTAAATACTGTATGCCAATAAATGCATACAATTTCTTTTAAGTTAGAACTCTTGAGTACATGGAACATTTTTATGTGCTTTTAAAAAACAAGGATGCTGACTGTCTCTTATCTAACTTTCTTTTTCCCTAGCTTCTGTAGCATTTCTGGGTGGCTTTTTCTCAAATGTGAAAGAAGCTAAGAAATGGAGCTCTCCAAACAGCTCTCAGTGACAGTTTATTGGCTGATAATAATAATAATAATAAAAAAAAAAAAAAAAACAAAAGATATGTTTCATCCCTGCCAGGGATCAGAAGGTAATTGTCAGGCGTGGGAGAGAGCTCAGTAGAATAAGTGCTTGCCTGGCAAGCACGGGGTCTGAGTTCAATCCCTGGTTCCACAAAAAAAAAAAAAAAAAAATCCACGAAGGTAACCATCAGAGCAAAGACAACAGCTCGAGTTCTTCAGCACTGCCTGTTGGGCCTCCTTAGGTCAGAGCAGCAGCCCAGGGAGCGCAGGTCCGGTCACCTCAGCCTACCGTCTGCAGACTAACTTCAGGAGAACACCCCCCTAATCCAAGGCTGCAATGGTCACTCTGTGTTAAGACTTGTGACTCCACATCCTCAACTGTGTGATGGTCCAGGAAAAAACTTGCCTCCCCCATGACGAGCGCGCTCTGCAGCCATTTGTCACAGCTGCCCTAACTTCACGTCTTAGTAGGGGGGCCTAATATTTTCTCCACAAAACAAATTCATCCCAAACTGCAACCAGTCAAGGAGAAAGGCACCACATGCTTACAATACACGGCTGAGCCCAAGGCAAGCACAGAAGCACGTCCTACCTGTGGGGTGAAACTGCACGAACTCCAAGTCCTGGCAGGGGAGGCCAGCCCTCGTCACCATGGCTGTGCCATCTCCAGTGCTGGTGTGGGCAGAGGTGCAGCTGAAGTAGGTCCGCCCATAGCCTCTGGAAAGGACAAGAGCGCCTGACGACACAGAGCAGCGAATGCCAGCACTTCCCAACCTGGGGACCACAGAACCTACAGAGCACCCTCAGCTGCTATCTGCCTGTACCCCCCTAACACATATGCCTGTGTGTACCATACAATGTGGGAGGCCATGCCTGTTGACACTGCGACTTTGGGATGTCACGTAGTGGAACAGAGAAGGGAAGCTTATTTTACTTGGTGCTGTTTAAATGGTTTTTCTGACTTTTTTTTTTTTCTTTTTGCAGAACCGGGGATTGAACTCAGGCCCTTGTGCTTGCCAGGCAAGCACTTATTCTACTGAGCCATCTGCCTTGCCCCTAAATGATTTTTCTGGTAAGTGTATTTTATTTCTATAATGAAAATTTTAAAGTATTTATAGTTTGGGACATTTTTCTCATTCTCTCCCACCCCCAGCTTTGTCAAGGTATAATTTGATAAAAAATTTTATGTGTGTAAGATGTCTGTTATGGTTTGTGTTTAGATGTTCCCCCAAAGCCTTTTGTGATCATAATGGGGCTTTTTGGACTTGGTTCTAGAGTATGTGACACTGGGAGCAAGCATGTGACACTGGGACTGATTCACAGTGCAATGGTAGCCTTACAACTGCTCCACTCTGGGTGTGAGTGCCACCTACTCTAAGGGTGGGGACCCTGGACAAGATATAAGGGGCAGAGAGAGGGTCACAGTTGCCGCATGCTGCTTTGCTGCCATCCACCTGCCATGTGCTGTTTCTCCTCTGTGATACCCCTCTGCCATGCCACCCTGTCTTGGAGCCAGCCAATTATGGACTAAAACTTCTACAAACAGTGAGCTCAAATAAACCTTTCTTCCTTTAACTCTGGGTGTTGAATTTTTCATCTCAGCAATGAGAAAAGTAACTAAGGGTCCCACACAATGATCCGAGTGTGTACGCTGTGACGTGATACCACAATTAAGGCAATTAACATCTACCACCCCACATAATTATCATTTTTTTGTGGTGTGGACTCCTAAGCCTCAGTAAACTTCAGTCATATATACATTACTGTTACCACAGCCAGAATACTGTGTGCATTTAAGTCTCGAAACGGATTCATCTCATGACTCAGATTTGGACCTCTAGCTAATCCCCCATACCCTCTA